TTACTAATCAATATCGTTTCAAACGTTTTTCATTCCCATACATTAGGTACAAAGTATGTTTCTTTAATTCATTTCTAAAGAAGATCAGAGAGGAACTTACTAATTTGCCTATTAAGTGGAGATTCCAATTTAACAGGTTCATTTTACACTTTACACTTTTGCACTTTACACTTTTGCACTTTACACTTTTGCACTTTACACTTTGCACATTTTATATCTAAAGATCTTATTACAAGTTCGCAGCCATTAGTTCTCGGTATTATTTGCGACGAATGATTGTTCGTCACGAATAATACCGATTACCAGGTCTCACCACGTGGAGGTTGCTGCGACTGGAGACCCGGAGATAGAAGGAATCAAAGTTCCTTCGATCTCCCTCTACATAGAGTATACACACGTAGATGCATACTCTACGTAGAGCAAGGAGCTGAATACTAAGTACGAAACCGTGGAAATCAAAGAAAACAAAGTCCCTTTGATTTCCAAAGTCTATGTCTGACTGCCAAATAATTATTTCAACTAAATGGAAGCTAAATTGAGATCGCGACACGACGCGACCATGTAACTGGACTTACAGAGTCAGTCCCGTTTCTTCTGGTGGGCCTGATTCGAGAGAAAGACGATTAACGTCTCCGCCAGTACTCTACTCCCTGCATACCTGCTGCCGAGGGCCCAGGTCCCAACCTGACAGTGTACGACGTAGGTAGCACCGCGTCGGGATACCCTGCCCTGGCGACACCAGGTATGTCTGACGGTCGTAGAGTCCCGAAACGGAGTTCTACTCTCTGCACAACGTCAGGAATCCAGGATACGACTTGCATCCGTCTGATGGCTCTTTTGAGCTGCGCTGCGCCGGGAGCCTGGATTTCGCCTGACGCGTACAGAGAGTAGAAGATTCCTCGGAGGCGTCGATTGAGAAGTGAGAAATTTTTCTATATCGTTATATCTGTTAGCTGGAATAAGTAAACATTAATTTCTAATAATAGTTATATTAAGTATTAACAATATTTGTTTAAGAAATGATCGAGAATATTATTTTGCTGTAATATTAACATTTCATCAATTCTATCAGGCTTGGATCGAGTAGACTCTGATGACAGGCATCAGCCAATCCGCGTTCAACCTCTTTTCGTTTGATCTACCGAGAAAGAATGCCTACGTGACATATTAATAAAACTGCAAAATGATACTGGAAGAACACTTTTTTCACTATTTAATATTGTTTATTAAGTAAGAAGTCGTGGTAAATTTGTTCAAACGTGAATATGTAATAATTTAACTAAAAATGAATTTGAAAACTCGACTTTCCTTTTAAAATGTTCAACTGTATAAACTTCTAATCGATACCGTAATTCAAAATTTCGCGACGAGATTGAACACCACTGTAACTGCGCGTATTTTGTTTCAGATAAAGTAGTTACCTCAGCTATAATAATTTTATCTCAATTCGTTGGACTGTGAGTTACTGCGGCTTTTTGTTGGTTACCCTAAATCTCAGAGCTGCGTATATAACGCAGAATAGTTCGTTCACCCGCTTCCACCTCAAACACTTTCCGCATAGTTTCGCCGAATTACGCGAGCGTGGAATACTGTAGCGAGTACGATTTAAATAGTTCGAAGAGATTTTCCTGGAAAAAATTCGATACGTGCTTTCTTAACGTTTCCCTTTGATACGTGCTCTGCTTTATTGTACATCAAATGCTTTTTCTCCTGACATATTGTTCTTCCATCTTGGTTCTTCCGTGGAATTCAAATGGCTTGTAGGAAAAAAACGAAATAAGTTGTTTACATGATGTAAGAATTTCGTTGGTACGTTTATACGGCATCCACCTGAGGAAGAAAATAACGCAATAGCTTCGGAATTTATAATTTTCATTTCGATCTAAATAGTCGAAGTGCCTTGAATTCAGAGTTTCTATTGGAAATGGGGTATAATGAAATAATAAAATTTTAATTTTAAAGTTCCGATTTTATTCTAAAATGTGAGAAATAAGCTGACATCTTTTCTTTACAAAGAACTGGTCGAGACTAACAAACAAACGTTATAAGCAAAAGATAAACAGAATTTCTAGCTGTATGTACACACTACAGTTTTCACACATCTGTTTAGGCTCTAGGAAACCATACGAAGGGTTCTCAATGGCACTGGAGAGGGCAGGCGATCAAAGAGTTAATTTCTGCATACTGTTACTAGGCATATCAAAATCTATGTCTGTTTTCAAAAATTGAGCTTTATCGACGGGCAATCAACAACACAATTAATCCATTCCAGAATGTAAACAAGTGGAAATAAAAGAAATAGGCTCATGGTAGATGAAATGTTAATTTGAATAGCGCAACAATAAATGGCATAAACTTGTGGAATAACCGAATAGAAAAGTGAACGTTTATAACTAATTATATCATCTAAAAAAAATCGCAAATATCGTCAAACGCACTCTATTTTCTTAATATAGAGAAGAAAGCTTAGCCAGGTATGAGATCAGCGAGCCACGTCCGATTAATCGAACAGGTATAAATTGTGCAGCGTTATCGGTGACTGATCTTTAAGTAGCGATCGGTTTAATAGATAAATTTTTCCCCCAAGTGATTTTAGCGACGCAACCAATGCGGACAGCCTCGACTTTCCGCGAGTGCATCCTGGGTAGGTAATTTTTTTTCCGGCACGTCGAGCGTTTGCAGGTTGGCTCGAATTGAACTGGGAGTTACGCGGCCCCCAATTAAATTTCTCCATTGGTCCGCCAGTGTGATTCGAAATCGATACTACGTACCTCGAGTGACATCGTGTAATAATGTCGATGAGCTGACTCGTCGAGTACGAACATGTGGAAAAAAGAGAGTTTCTCTGGCGGTCTGGAAAATCTTCCCTGTCGATGTTAAATGGAAATGCAGTATTAACCTCGTCGTGCCAGCTTTTTCGCTCGATCGAATATTCATGTCTAATCTTGAAATTAGGAGACACTCTTAGGAATCGATGAATAATCAAACACACATCGTTAGCCTATGCCTTTCTGTCAAAATACACCTTTGGCATTTTCTTTTAAAATTATTTTCTAAGATTAATCATTTTCCCTTAATTGACTTTCTGACTTCTGTAATGGTTTTAAAATTAATTGTATCTTCTAGATTTAAATGTGTATATCTTGTACCTATTTCGACCACGAAGTATCTTTTGACACCTGAAGGATTTTATAACATTGACTTTACTAATAAATATCAACACCATAAGGTACCATTTAATAATATACTACTATGAATTTACACAATAGTATTATCGATCTGCTGGGCGTTTATTTAATTGCAATTTAGAGAGGTTTTTATTTAAAGTAACTTGGTTCATACTGAATATTATATAAATAATTCTTTAATAAACTATGAAGTTAGTAATAATAGAATTATTAGGTTGTCTTAAAATTTCTTCCATTTCATTAATAAGTGATACATGCACAATATTTTATGTCTAATTTTACATTATTGAATTGCGTATGATTCATTTTGCTCCATTATTGTTACAACATTAACATCTAAGAAATTAGGTTGTCTATTTATATAAACACTGCCACACAAAATTGGGACAAGCTAATACATGAAAACCTTATAGATGCATTAAAAATGTTCGTCCTACCGCGAAATTAACGACTCTATTTACTGTGCTACGTGGACTCTGATTATAAATTTTTCTCCATTTTCGTCCAATTCGTCTAATTTATTACATGAGAATTATTATGCGAATATTCTACTTTTCTTTAAGCTTTTCATCGACATACCTAACCGTTCCGATAGTATTCTGCGACGAAGAAAAACATGAATTGTTACCATATGATGATATCGTTTCCTCAAACCGTATCATGACACCAACCACTAAAATACTTTTGTGCTACGAACGACCTACACTCACACGCGGTGTTATAAAAACGTCCTCGTATCTTCTGGTACAATTCGAGCATTTATTATCACGATAATCAAGAATGCAAGTTAATAGTAGCATTCATGTTTTCGAATATAATACCTTTACGCGGTCAGACTTCTCGTAGAATGAATGTTTCTCGTTGGAGCATGATGCAACTCTGTTGAACGGCCCTACTACTAATTTAACTTCCGACGGTACGCCAGCGGCAAAGTTAAATCGAACCTGAATGAAGGTCTTCTGCGCGTTTCGCCCGCAACGACGGGAATTCAGTCAGACCGTTAGAATGAAAACCACAGGGGTCTCTCTACGGCTTCAATAAAAAATTCATATCGCTATTTTTTTTTAATCGCGATTCACGTGTCATCCAATCATCGTGACAACGTTGACATGCTAAAGCATCGTAGTCATCGCAGTTGCTCGGTCTTCTTTGCTTTCGAATATATTTCTCTTTAATTTTTTGAATATTTATATATTTTTAAATCAATTTTTCTCTATGTAGTACCCCAATCGTGACGTATTTTAAATCGTTTCCCTTACGAAAATATACAAATGCTCGAAAGTTTAATTTTGTTCATTTATATAATTTTTGTTGCATGTGAAAATAAGGTAAAATAATATACGTTGATAATAAATTTATAGCCACTCTGTATATTAAGTTGCACGATCTAATTCGTAATTTTTTAACTCTACAAATTTACTAATATTCCAGGCTTTGATATTAATATTATTGAACCTATACATCTCTTCTGTACATGTACTTATTTATCTATGCTACATTTTGCATTTTGTTCTGTCAGAATATAGAAATTTCGTCGTAAACAATCAATTTCCTAGAGTATATGCACGAGTAATCGTTATCGTTCAAATTAGAAAATACCGTACTTTTCCAATACCGTGAGACATTCGTGAATTTATGTTTCCCCTAACGAAAGTCAAGAGTCCGAAATAATTTGTTTAATCACATGACGAATTTTAATTGCAGGCCGTTAATAATGATTTACGATAATTATAAAGTAAATGTTCAACGTTCCAAATGACGGTACGATAAGACCGACGATAAAGTCGCTTCGTTTCGTACTTTTACTTCATTTTTCACCAACGTGTTCTTTTCAAATATTCGCAAGTAGTTTTCATTAGATTTCGTACTCGATACTTGACTTCCTTCGCGATGAAGAAGTGCCGCAACGACGAATCCGCGTAATGGCTGCTGAGAATAACTTCTTCAAGAATGCTTTGTAGTTCATCTCGAAAGAAGCGAGGTAATTATAAAAGTAGGTCTTGTTGCAAGTATTTCTCGTATCTCTTAAGTCAGCCTTTCGTGTTACGTTAACAGGCACATCTCTTGCGGGTAGGCGCAAATACCATCGTGGCACACATTAAGGAGCTTCGTCGTCGTTGCAAGAAATTCAACACTTGTTGGCTCGTCATCAGTAGCAGCCATTGGAAACCATTACTGTCGAGACCACAATTATAATTTTCTCGGTGATACGATAAAAAAAAGTATTTACATACATAGTGCATGATACTAACATAGATCCGATATATTTTTATTTATATATTATAAATAAGGTCCTTTCAAAAACAAAGTCAACGAAGAATTTTAGGCTGTGCGATCACGTTACATCTTCAATTAAATTGAATTAAAAGGAGTATTTACTTTACTATTTAAAAATTGAATTCACGAAATTTGAATCACAAACCTTTATAAATATTTATGGAAACACTTTTATTTCGAGTTGAAAAATAGATTTTCTATTTGTTTTATATACTTCTTGCTTAAAATCTTTCAAATAACTCTACCATTTTTACTAGTTTGTGTTAATTATTTTAGCTGTAAAGTAAAATTCGTAATTTCAAAAGTTATATTAAAAAAAAAATTCTCCAAAGAAGGAGTGCTTAAAAAGAAGAAACCTTCCTATATATGTACTCTACATGTGTGTATATACAATTTATTTGAAAAAGGGATATAATTATTTCTAATATCGTGTCACGTGTTTTTTTTCGTAATTGAGTATCACGTTCTAACAATTACTTAAACTTGGTGATTTTTAATCGAAACAGGCTGCAGTAATTTCGGTAATGAAAAGTAAAGCGGAAAATTATTAGTCGATGTACGGGAACGGTTGCCCAGTCATCGCAAAAAGCGCACGCTACAACAGCTCGGCAGCTGAACAACTCTGGAAGCGATAATCTGCGCGACAAAGGCTCGTTTACCATATCTCTTTTAAATGAAAATTGAATTTTCATCAGGGATGCGGCTTTATACGTGTATGCTTACAGCGAACAATTTTCTTTGACATGGTTTGGAACGTTTTATTTTTTATCCGTATAGACTTTTTTACTTTTTTTTTTTCCCAACGATACATATCGGCGAATTCTATTATCTTTGTTCGAGCGCTTTGTAAAAGTGCAGAACGTTTGCACGGTAAAAAGTGTTCATTTATTGGAGGTAATGGTTTTTGAACCGAGACTATAGAGAATATAGAATAGTCGTGTTACTGTTGATTTAATATATATGAAATTAATAATTGTTCTGGAGATCGAATGTATCTTTTGCTTCTAAATTATACTTTCTGAGACCATTTTCAATTTCCACTTTTCTGGCTCACCTTCACATAAAGAGACTCGTTTCGATAAACTAGCTAATTAAACAAAATTGTTCTCTTAAATTCTACACGGATCTATATTTGTTAAAATTATCATTTTCTTTTCAATGTTATTTGAACCATTTGTATGTACAGTCATGGCTGATGTATGTACATATTTCTTAAACAATGAACTGTGTTATTCCAAGCTATGAGAAATAAATGACTTCATAAATTTTACAAAATTATTATGGACTTTGAAATAGATATGAGTCAATTTCATATCCGTTTGTGAGTCACCGAAAATATCGCAAAAATGTGAAGGTCAACCATAGTATAACATTCTCTTTGACTGCGAGGCGATTTTTGCTGGAAATTCTAAGAGACGTAGTGGTATGAATTTTAAAAAAATATCAGCTTATCGAGAATGACAAGGCGGAATATTTTTAAATTTAAAGTTTATTCATAGGACGTTTAGTTTTAGAGATAAAATTTGAAAACTTAAAAGACTTTTTGCCTGAGATCTCGTAATGGTCTGATCCTGTTGCAGTTGTCTTAATGAAAAAAAAGTAACAGTCAAACAAACGAATTAAAAAAAAATATCACTTTACAGAGAATGACAAAATGCAACCTTTTTATATTTACAGTTTGTTCATATGACGTTTAGTTTCAGAGATAAAAATTGAATCTTACAAGAACTTTTCCTTGAAATTCAATTTTTGCAACGGACTTCTAACATTCCAATTTTTATTTTAGAAACTAAGCGTTCTATGAATAAACTGTAAATATAAAAAAAGTTTCATCTCATCATCTCCTATAAGCTGATGTTTTCTAAAAATTGATTTAATAAGTATAAACATTTTTCTGACCCAATATCTCGAGGACGAATATATACGCCCTTCCCAGTCAAAGGGTTAATAAATATAACGAATATTGAAAGAATACTCGGATCGACTGATCAATTATTAACTTTTCTACAAGCAATAGTTCCTCTAATATGTCTAAGTTGTCGTCTCGCGAATTCGCTTAACAGCATTAATTATTTATTTGCGTTACAAATTAACACAGAAGCATGGATTTTATTCGGATATTTAGATGGCTGGAATTTGTCGCATAATTTTATTATCGTCACGATGCAGGATTGGAGTAAAATGCTAGCATCGTTCAATTAACGTGGATTATTGCAACTTAATGATCATTGACGCGAGAAATATACACAGAATGGACGTCGAATTTTCGCGCGATTAATAATTTTGTAGTGAAGTACGATGCATGCTCTTTACATACATAATTTCCGTAAAATGTAAAAGATACATTGATTCGTTAATATTAACGTTGTACACAATATTCTGTAAATTCCGAAAATTTCTCACAAACGATATATTTTCGCAGACAAAATAATTTTCTAGCATTTCAAAATTTAGACTTGGCATAGCCTAGGCGGGTCGTTAATCGGATGAAAAACTTTTGGCATCGTTCCCTCGTAAATCAATGACGCTAATGCCTGGATTACCGTGGACTAGACTTGTTGGGTGTTAATGCAACGGTTGTTGCGATATATGCAATAGAAGTCCAGTGAACCGCTCAAGAGAACTTAGCTTGTATTGTCTCGATTTACGTGAATATTCAGACAGTTGACGAAAAGAGTTCAGAACTTTCAACGCAGGCAATACTCGTCAAATGAGGCAAAAATGTCCTGATAAACATGAATTGAAAAATTACTATATGTAGAATTTTAAACAATTATCTGAGTTCTATCCGCCCTGAAAATTCTGAACTTCATTGTTTAACAATCTGTGCACACAAGTACACATTCTTTCAGGTACATTTTCGTCTGAAATTCATACGTCATTACTTGGACGCGTACAGGTGAAGATTTTGGAAGATATTTATGTACATCAGGGCATACTTACATGCTTTTTTATTACGAAGTTCAATCTAAATTCATCGCAACGACGAAACCCAATTTTGTGCTGCGTCTCGCAATGTGAAATAAAAGTGCTTCGTACTTTATTCGAGTGGCATGCCTTTTTTCGCTGAATGCCAACCACTCGCATGCAGAATTTTCGCTAAGAATACAAAACGAGGGGAATACTGAATGCCTAATCAATTCGTCCAGATTCTCCTTCGCCGGAACTTGCGTTTCGTTTCTTTACATTCGCCGATGTAGGGCTTGAGATTTATAATATCGGCTCTTTTTTTCTTAGAATTTTCATTTGCCACGTATCTTACGTATTCGAACAATTTTAATGTTACAATTACCAATTGTAATTCGCTCGAATGTACACCTTCGTTAATATAATTTGTTATTCAAAGTAGTGGCTTCCAAGTGTCTATGACATTTGCGTAAATAAAGACAAAAAGGATGAGCTCGTTAATAAATTTGTGTAGTATTAGTCATTCTGTAGACTCTGGTAAATTATTTGTAACTGTTTGTTTGTTGAATTTAATTACGAGTTTTTATCAACTGTGGAAAGAAAGAAGCATTTGTAATCAGCGGTCACTGATAGGTTTAATTGTAAACAGATGCAGTGATAAATATATAGATTAAATGTAAAGAAAACAAGAATAATTGCAATGAATAATGAAAAATTCTAATTCATAAATTACAAGTACGAACGATAGTAGAAAATCAGTGGTGCAGAGTGTTAGTCAACAAATCTAGTGGCGGTTTTACTAAATAAACCGCGGTCGACGGGACCGTAATTATTAATTACGTGTAGAGGAAGTGTTGCAGCGTTCTAGTAGGTGAATAATAGAAAACTTGTACGTTCCAGTTGCTTGGCGGAAAACCTTTTATTAATGAAGCGATTAAGGTTGGCTTGAACGTTTCAATCCTCTTTAATACACTTATTGAAGGCCATAGGACGATAACCATAGTGAATCGGACCCAGACAGATATCTGGATCATTTTTTGCGAGTATGTTGATACTACTGAGATACGTTGATCCTGCGAGTTTCACACCTGTACCTGTACCACTGTGTAAAAGTGGTTATCGAGTACTAATGCCAGCATTAAAAGGTATGCGAAATCGGTTAACAATTGCTGAATCTAACACTTCGAGATATATCACTAAAATTCGATGGACAGGAGAAGCAACACATGGAATGCTGAAACTAAACTATCAACAATTTTACTACTATTGAAATAAGTAAAGCGACGATATAGTGATACAGTGATCTTAAATACTCAAGCAACGCTTTTCTTTCTACTTGATTTACAAATTTGTGAGATTTTAAATTGTAAACGCATTTTTATCAAAATAAAGCATAGCCTATGTTACTTAGAGATAGTGAAGCTTTTTATTACTTATGAAATTTTTTAAAATCGGTTCAGTAGTCCCGCGGATTACGTCCTACATACAAACAAACAAACAAACAAACTTTACCTCTTTATAATATTAGTATAGATTTCAAATAATTGAATAATACTATGTGATTATACGACAATAAAGGACTAAAATATTATTTCATATCGAATATTAATAAGTGATATTAAAATACATGCCCTACATCTTTAAATAAACTACATCTTCTAAATTCCTAATAATCTGGATTCGTTGAACCCTTGATTTTCCTCTTCCCGAGCCTATGCTCTCCCAATAATCGAGCTTGGAATTTCACCGTAGCATAACACGGCGATTTCCATGTTACATTTCCCGTGATTGATTTCTGCCTGTTATTAATTCCAATACAGGGAAATATCGAAGGCGAATCAAAGACATATCCGGCTCCGATTTCTTTCCTCGATTTCTTCGCGGGATCGTTTCTGTCCCTCGTTCCGGTTTTGTCGGCGCCAGGGGCAGGGGGGAGGGGAAGGGTAGGTATCTATCGTCGGCAGGAAGCAATTCGTAGTTTTCCAATCAGAGAACGAGACAGCCGCGCTCATTTTCCGGGCAGTACGCGGCTTGCATTATATCCCGAAACCGGAAGCGGTCGATCAGAGTAAACCGCAGTGGGTACTCCGAAGCTGGAGAGAAGCTCGCGCACGTTCTTCCTTTCCGTTTTCCTTTTCCCAGAAGAACGCTACTCGTGATATTGTCTCCATTGTCTCTTTAATCGAGAAAATCAAGGTTTTTCGGTGGCCGGTATTTGTACACCGAAACAGTGAACTGGTTCTTTTGGTGATTAATAGCAAACGTTCCCGAGCGTGGAGGACCGACTGAGAGTGCCGCTTTCCTTTTATACTTATTCCGTGGTGCCAATTTCTACTGTCGTACTGTTTTATATCTACATTTAAGCGCAACCTCTTTTGGTATTTTGTCTAAACAGAGCTTCGTTTCTTTTTTTCGTCAAAATGAATATGCGAAATGAATTCGATAGTGGAATTGTATATATTTTGTTAAGATTTATTTGTTTATTGTAGCATCTGATTATAATCGGAGCTATTGGTGACCTTCGTAAGCTATACAGTACTGTATGTACAAAAGTCTTAGGTCACCATCTTAAGCTGACATTACACTTAAATAAATAATATAAAAGAGTATTGAAAGTGAAGTTTGTATTATAATATTTGTCTGAGATTATTTAGACGGAACTCGAAGGAAGAAATAGCCTAACAATGCATACGAACTGTTTGAGGTGTTACGAACCGAATGACAAAATATTCCGAGTGAAATAATTAAAGAATCTCATGAAAGTTGTTCGAGAAGAGTCGCTTGAGTCGATAGTACGATTAAGTCAGAAATAAGATATGTATAAATGTAAATGTAAATATGTAGCAAATAGGAATACATCCGTTTATGATTTCTAATCGTCTATGACCTCCAATTAAAATTCTGTCGAAATCAAGTGAGAATTTCATCGACTAATCGTTGAACAACTTACTGAACTTTTCGGAGTCCTACTTAAAGATAACCAGAAGTAGTACACTAACTGGAAAGGTGGTCACCGAGGCTCAACAACTATGCCAAAACTTCATCGTGAATCAATGAACTAATGGCAGGTAATGATGCTCGACGGAGCTCGGCCTTCCGCCCTTATAGCTATCAACCCTCCTCCCCAACAGCATCCATTCCCTATTGATTCCACCATGAAATCCACTTTAACGCTATTCCTGAGGCTAAGTGCCATCCTTGATTCAGCTTCTAAGATGCTTGGAGATTTTGATGAAGCAATTTCTATAACTCCGACCAGGTTAGCGTCCAAACTCTGCACCGTCTGCATTTCAATTACTTTTTAACCTCTTCAAGGGTGGATTATTTTCTGTGAAATGAACAATGGACGTGTCGATAAAATTGCATGTAAAATATTGTTTGTATAATCACAACTGAAAGAGATATTCCGGTGGGCTTGTTTAAGTAGACCACTCCCTATATTAGAAAACCAGAATATTACCAGAATACTAGAATATCAGTGAACCTCTTGGAAATGGGGTATAATGAAAGAATTGAATACTAATTTTATTAACTAAAAGTTTTGATTTTATTACTAAATGTCACGAATAAGCTGAAATCTTTTCTTAACGAGGTCCTGGTCAAGACTAACAAATGAACGTTATAAGTAAAAGGTAGAAAGAATTTCAACCTGTATACACACCAGTTTTCACACATCTGTTTAGGATCTAGGAAACTATATGAAAGGGTCCTCAATGGCAATTAAGAGGGCAGGCCATATCCTACATTTTCTCTTTACTTATTCTGCAGTGACAGATATATACATATATTTTCACTACATTTAATTTTTATAGTAAAACAAAACATTGAATCAGAGTAAATATTCCAACACTACCAGAGTCTCTGAAGTTGATAAAATATTTTGCTAATAATAACAAATCTATCATGTCAAGATACTCAGACGAGAGGATGGAATGTAACAATAAACAGTGCATACGGGAAAATGTCACTGATAGAAAAAGTATATCACAGCTCCTGAAATTTCTTATGAACACTAATCTTCTCCAAAAGCTTTAAAGCTCACAGTTGTCGCTAATAACCCAATTAGTGGTTGATGCGTCTTTAAGTGACTACCTAAGAGAATTTAAAAGAATGAATTCATTTTTCGCCAGCAATCGAGCAGCATTCATGCAATTATTACAAGTTCTAGAAGTATAATTTACTGTTCAAGAGACTTTTAGTTGAGTTCACAGGAATGATACTCATCCTTGATAACCACCTACTGTAATCGTACCTAACCAGTAGAACATTCCAACTCAAACTTCAAGATAAGTACACAGAGGTATGGGAATACCTATGCTTGGAGGATTTCTCAAGGACCGATACGTCTCGTATATTGTCGATATACATATATATATACCAACGATAGAAGATACAATGCTTTCAACATTTGCAGATTATACTCCGATAACGACTATGTACACAGATAGAAGGAATTTCCATAAATCTACTCCAATAAATCTCAAACGACGACTAACTTGATTTAAAACAGAAGAATATTTACCGGAGGAAAAGCGCCTTCCGTATTTTTAAACAATATCCAGATATGTGCAGCAACGTAACGGGTTTAGGTATTTACATCTAGATAGAAAACTAACGTGGAAATATAGGGGATATGAGAAAATAGAACAAGTCTGGAAAAAGGGGAACATGTACTGACGATGGGTTAATATTTCAAAACCGAACGGACAAGACAACCATTAACAGGAAGTTATAATGAAACCAATGCATAACAGTATTTCATTTTTTCAAGTATCAACTACCGATTTTATAAATCTCCCAAAAATGTATGTTGTAAAATAGCATCCGAAGGCTTTACACAAAAAATATGGTAATTGTACAGGAAATGTATCAATGTTTATACAAATTTATAACAGTACTTTTTTTTTTTTTAATATCAGCTGTCGATTTTAAAAATTCCAAAGAAATATATGTTGTAATATAGCATTCGAAAGCTTCACGCAAAACATATATGGTAATCATACGCGAAGTGTATAAATGTTTAAAAACGTTCATAGCAATTTTTTCACTTTTTTGAAAATATTTTTGTGATTCGATTCCTTTCGAAATTTGTTTATAAATGTGCCTTAACTATATGCACAACATAATTTTTATTGAACGATATCGGTCGAACCCATCAATAGTTATAAATAATTTTTTTACATATCGAATAATAATATTTAAATATTAAAGACTCATATTTGGCCAAATTACAAATTAGTAAATCAATTTAGAATAAATAATGTTCACGGGTAACTGGACATTATGGGTCTGCGTAAATGACTTGGATTTCTCATTGGATCCTTTCATCGCGTTCATGAAATTAATGTATTCCCTATTAGTTTTCTACGTGGCTACGCTAACTTTTGATATCGATATCCTCCTTTCATTGTTCACCGTTGAAAGAGAAAAATCTTCATTGTCCTCTTTTGTTAGTTGTCCTCTATCTCGATTCAGTCAGCGAAATCGGTTTCTAGCTCATTTCTGTTGATAAAATAATTCCGAGAGAAAAATCGCAACTTTCCACGGCAGCTGCACTTTGACGTCTCTGTAACTTCGCGTTTGTGTTTCAGAACGGATTTATTTAGACGTCGAATCGTTCAAAGAGACGTCATTGTAAACATTGAAGGAGATTCATCTTTGAATCGATTGGTAATTTGTTTCTTAAAAATTTTAATGTGATACAAACAATTAATTCTATTGGTGAATTCAAATGTATTATTAGTAGCCTATAAAAGGATCTATTATAATGTAGACATAAAGTATTATAGCAAAGTGATCATTATCAAGAAATCTACAACTAACAAAGCATTTAGTTTTGATTTTTCTAATCAATTTGATTCAATTTCAGAAATACACACACGTTCAGAGAGGCCAATACTGATATTTCTACAATGAATTTGAGAGTGAAAGTAACAGAATGTGTGCAACCCGTTGAAGCAGCTCCAATCAGCTCTCTGTCAGTCCCTTTGTGTGTATCATCTACGAGGGTCATTCAAATATAAATCGGAATTTTTATACGCAACTTTATCGAAAATTCAAATTGGAAAAGTGCCAACATGATTCGTGCAAATTTCAAGCCAGCAAGTTTACAACATGCACGCTATTCAAATACTTCTTACTCCTGCGCTCGGATGGAAGTATTTTTGAAACGGGATTCTGGCACATGTTCTGTTCCACAAGTGGAGTTTTGATCACGCCTCCAAGAAATGAAATTCTTGTATCACACCCGTGTGAAAGTTGAACGCGCTGGATTTCCATGCTGGTACACGAAGAGTGATTTTAAAATACAGTCCTTGCCGTGATACGTGGCACAACCGAAACGTTCTCTACTTTATTCGTTTGTTCTCTGTTATCTCAATTTCATTTATTTTAAATAATTTGATGCACCAAATTAATTCTCTATTGTTCGATGATTACTGATGTGACTACTGACAAAATATCATACGACACGTCTGTAGCAATAGTTATTCGTGTATGTATTAGACGCAAGTATACGTGTATAAATAGATTTAATTTATTTAAAGATAAAATTATTTTCGCAACGGAATAACGCAATCTTGCTGTAGATTATGGTT